CTTTGCAATTACTTCCAATTGTTGCGACTGATTTCGCAACACATGCACAAACGCAAGGCAACAAATCAACCTTACAGGTGGCTGTGAAGGCTCCGTCGATCCTTCCTAATCATCGGATGAATAGATCACATTTGCCCTTCCATTTGATTCACGAGTAAATATTTCAATATAAAAGCAACAACTGGGCACGAACTACAACACTAGCAGAGATTTGTAAATATGGGGGAAAGTGGTGGTTAGCAGCAGGAAGGCAGCCATACCTTTGAACACATACCCACGTTAAATCTACCTACATGTCTCTATGCACCTACTGTTGTAATATCTTAAATGCTCACCACTGTTCCCCATCCTAATGGAACATCCTGTTCTTCTCTATTTTCCAGCCTTGCAGAACAGAAATGTGACAACGATGCTTCGATAACAGTTGAGAAATCAGCATTTCCTCCTACGCCACTCGACCACTTTCGTGTTAGGTACTGTGAGATAGGCTGGTCAGGAATAAGGCGAATGTCTACCTGGTTTCGTATTGGAGTCCGAAAGGTGAAGTCGAGGGTCAGCAGGGTATCATAGCGATCGTTGAGTAGGATGATAAGGTCTTCAATTGCTCTTCTGTTAACGAAACACTAAAATTTGTACTTAAGCACCCATGGGGAGACTCCCATCATTCATTTGAGAATATTGATGCGGTACGCTGAGTGAAGCCTTGTGTTTTGTGCGAAGTAACTGCAAATCAAGTGCCACTTCTATGAAGGTAATCTCCAATTTATCGATGACAGTGGAAAGATAATCGAAAGAATACAACGACAGTGTGCCACGTAGTCAACAACTTGTGTAGTCGGTTACCACGACAAAGGAGAATAGCGAGCATCTGTTCGATGTCCATATGTCATTCCGAAGTTGAGTGTACCATCTACTGCTTGGCTTTGGCCTCACTTTTCGCCTTTCGCAGACGTCTCTTGGCTAGCCACAGTCTCTTCTGCAGTCGAACGTTATTGAAGAACCAGCCAATGTCACGATGCAGAGTGGCCAGATCGAGCAGCACCAGAGACACGAAGAAGATGACGATGATGCCAATGACGACAGCACCCAGTTGGTCAGCCGAGGGGGCCTCTATTGGTGGTGGAACATAGCGACCTGCGGAACTTGTGGTCAAGCTTTCGGCCACCGCTGTGGTGGTTAAAATGAACAAAGTGTTTGCTCTGCATCGACTTTTCACAGTATATGCAAAAAATCAGGAATTTGCTCATTTTGTAAGTGAGCGTTATGATATGCCATTCATTAAATCCCTACTCAAGTACTTGGGTTCTTCACCCTCTGTGGATTGTATTTGCATACTAGTGTAGTGGTAGAAACCTGTCTGCTAACACCACACCCCCCATCCATGTTGACACGCTTTATGATGACTTCAGGGAAGACGCGGAGTGTGGAAACATTAGCACTGGGAGAGGAGGTCGTCTGCATGTGCAAACGTTGCCAACCATGAGTGTTGATGTATGAAGATGTCAATTATAAATGAGCGAATTTGTCGAATCACCATCTGTATTTGGCAAATGTCCGACTTCGAGTTACGCACAATAGCTAGTAGTGGAGGTGCGTTCATGGCTTAAGAGGTTTGCATTTAACCCCAGGATAGGGCTTATGGTATGTTGCATGCCTCTGAATGAAGAAATCTGTCACGTTCCCGGAATGTGGTGTTGCCGTTTCCAGTGATGCCTTTGGCAAATATTACCGTGAAATACAATTGGCATGCAGCCAATGCTATTTGTGGATTATGGTCACGTCTTTACTACCATATGCTCAATAGATTCCGCCTTGATAGTGACGCAGTCTATGGCCTGAAATATCATTAAAGGTAGCACTCCACTCTTGATGCCATCTGCGATCTTTCTACTTGGACGTGAATGCAATTTAACAGAGGGTCCTGCAGCAGCTGAAGTGAGTTGCGGAGAGCTACAAAGATGACTTATAGAGGAGGAGGAGGAGGGAGTTATGGAGTAGCTTGACATTTTTACAACAACACAAGCACCTTAGTCTCCATGGCTTACTGTTCTGTTTAGGCAAGGCGATATATCGGCCACATCAGCATCCCTGTTTCGGTTTAAGTGGGGACCTTGGGGACAGCAATATCTGATTAGAAAATGCATGTATCACCTATTCATTTGCCACTTACCCCTTTACCTCGTCAAGTAGGAATGATGAAGTGAAGTGTAATGTGCATTCTAGAGCTGCTTAGTGTAAAAGGCAATGCAAGAGCTGCTCCTATGCGAGATTAGCACTGCATCAGAGCACAACGTTCAGGACTCACTTATGCAGCCGTAAATCTGCGGTGTCCAGCGCCCAACCGGACCACAAGTGATATTCTGATCCGGCGTCTTGGTTACCGTCTCGTAGCCCTCCTGGCATACGTACCGAATCGTTGTCATATAGGGGTAGAACACTGGCTTCAGTTTGCTGCGTGTCTCCTTGGTGCCATTCTCGAATGTAATCGTGAAGTTGGCCTGTATGTTGTAGTCCCCTTTCACCAACACATCCTCGTACATGCATGTGACCGCTGCAAATGATTGTAATCCTTGAGGAATGCATCAGCTCAATTCATTATTAAAACGTCACGTTATCGCCATTTCGAAAGTCTATTTAAGTTTCGGATTTGACTTGATTTACCCACTGCACGCAATCATCGTGTAAATGCAGAGTGGCAAAATTTATTCCACTGTATTCCAATTTTTGCAATAAGACGGATCCAACATTCATCATTTGTCCCTTTCTTATTCCCAACACCTTTACTTTTTGTGGTAGAATTGGATCTTACTTGCAGTGTGATAGCATGTCCATTATGTTGAACTGAAAATATGCTACAAAAGGCTGCAATAAGAAGAAAGTAGGAAGGAGCAAACCAATGGGTTCTGCATTGATCAACGGATACGCAAGCAATCGAGTGTGTTTTAAATACTACCATAGGTCACAACTACTCGCTGTGGCAAGGTATGCCAAAATTGAACGTGCTTTGGACCACTGAATAGAAGCATGCAGACTCACGTTGGCAGGACGAAGGTAGAGGTAGAAGTGTTCCACTGTATCCCTTCCATTCGCCCACATTGCTCTCTCCCGCCTTGAGGTCACACTCGACGTACTTCTCGAAACTGCGATCTGGGTAGAAGTAGGAATCGTAGCATCTGTAGGTGACCACATTGCCAAACTGACTGAACTGATTCACCTGTAGAGGACCGAACTCCTCCTCAGTTAGTCGGCTTCGAGCACTGGACAGTGAAGCATATTCCGGTAGCATGGCATTCATCTCCGTCTCGTTGCAACGAATGGCTGAATGGATGTGTTAAAGGGATGCATTTAGCAGTAGATATGTCTATGCTGATGCAGCGGTGCTGAAGCTAAATGGTGAATGCTCCACCACTGTACGACTAACTCGTGCTTTGCTTTTTAGTAAATATTGGAGAGTTTGACGGGCGATGCTCCTTTTCGTTCCTTCATAATCAGGGCAAAGCAGGTTCAGATGTCATGGCATTGTCTTTTCCCTGTTTGGTTTTCCTAGACTACCATTCCCAGACGTTTGGTGTGCCCTTCACAGCTACCGGTGAACCTGTTTTGGTTTACTTACGTTGCATTGTCAATGCTGTCGTGTTAATCATTTTGATGGTCAGGTAATTTAGGCAGTTGACATTCAATTGTTAACAGTTTCACGAGCATATTGGGTGGGAGGGACTGAAGACCAGCGTGCAAATTGCTCATATGTCTTCCTTGTGGAGACGCCTGCAATGGGATTCCAACGAAATGCACCTAATGCCACACGCTTCAGCCCTTTAACGAATCCAAATGAAGGGCGCGAATAAGGTCATCAGTGTGCCACCAACTATGGAACTAGTTTGTGGTTAAAAACCAACCTCTTCATTTGGGTCAATTCATGTTTTGCATCGAATGCTGTCTTACAAATTGGGTTTGCATCCAGTACTTGACCAAATAATGATTAGTCTTTTACCTCACACCGCATTGAACAGGTCAAATAGAAGAAAGTAGTGTGCCTCAATTAAAACTCAATCGTTTATTGAGAAGACATTGCCCGGTACTAGCTGAAAGCGCAAAATCGAGTGGTAGTCCAAGGTGCCTCTACTCTGTTTTTCTATGAAACTAGCGCAATGTGCTAAGGTTCAGAGGATTTAAGGGTTTTGCCCTTGCCACTTTTGTGTTTGGATAGAACACGGAGTGAGTAATGCATTCTGCGTCTAAAGGGCAAATGGAAGAAGCACCGGGGAAGCGATTTCACTTCCTGTTACCTCCTTCCATTCCGTAAGCACTTCAAAACTGATGTGTGTGAATGGTCAGCTAAATTGCTGATTTTAATTAAGTCCAATCCCAAAGGAGTGTTAGAGGCATCCTTGCAACTAATGCCAGTAAGAGGAATTAGATAGAGGCAAACATGACAAGCCCAGGACTAGTCAAATTTGACAAATCGAAAGTCGTCTTTACGATTTACTTACTCCCCTTCACAAAGGAGTGCTAGTAGAAAGTGAAGTTTGTGATTCCCATCAAAATGTACACTTTTGCCCACTTTCAACTGAATAGGCTGTTGTTTGAATTTCGCTGCACCATTTATCTACTCCCCTTTCTGTAGTGCAATGAAGCGTTGCTTACATCGCTTTGCCGACAGTTGAGCATCTACTCATACCAAAACAGGCTTAACTACATTGTTGCAGTTCCCTCTAAAAGCAGTTGCTGTCATGATACACGAGCATGCATTCACCTTGCCCTTTAATTCATGCAACATGTGGATACTGCGTTACCTGGGTTAGCATCTGTCACTGTATGCACACATTCACAGAGTAGTTGCGACTGGTGTGGCTTCTAGCTTTCGTTCAGGCATCAGGTAGTAATTTGGATGTTAGAACACTGTGAGTGGGTCTGTGTTTCCTCATCGTAATAGGCTTGCGACATACCACTGCACGCATGACACGGATCAGGATACCAGACACCCTGATGGCTGTTGCTTGACACTGAGAGACACTGCATGCTCGCCGTCTCCTGTGTTGGATCCAGTGAGTAGACATAACCCGCGTTGCATTTAACAGTCACGTTTTCACCGTACTTAAAACGGACTCTGTCAGGTGGCTTGATCGTCCCATTTGCCACGTGACACAGAGAGGTTGGATCCAGTTTACATGACATTTCTATAGAACAAGGGAGAAGGCAAACAGGGATAAGTGTTCAAGGTTGTCCCATTAAGTGACTGCCATTTTGTGAGACAAGTTATGGCTTAAGACCAGGGTGAAGACTACAATCACTGGTGGGACAACCTTGCCACTCACCCTAGTTCCCCCATTGCTCTGCAGTGCTGTTTACGCCTTCTTCACATATCGTCAAGACGGACATGCCCTATGTAAAGTAGCTAATACCAAGTGCTCTGCTGCTTGGGCGATCACGGTCTAGTGCATCACTTGTAATTTAGAGAGAGAGAGACCGGTTCAAACTAGGCAGAATATCCATTACAAAAACCGCTAGATGAAGGTGGTTGAATATAAACTGCCGCTTACCGTCACATTCATTGAGGGGTAAACCGTTGTAGCTGAAGTGGACTTGGTATTGTGAGGGGTCGGCGACACCCGGATTCGCCCGTTCTCCAACACATGTGAACTGTGCGGGTGATAGCTTATCGTCAACTTTCGAGTGCACTGCTTCTGACGAATTCTTGGCTGGTCGAGGATAGAACCCGGGCATGCAGACTACTGTTGTGGTCGTGCCTGGGTGTGGTTTTGTAGGACTAAATTGCATTGTGTTGGGATTAAAACCACCAGGTGGATTTTCACAGTCCTTCACTGTAGAAAACAGGCGAACATTGCAGTTAACTCAGTGTGTTTCCGTCTTGGCATACCCGATTTCTCACTGCTATGCTACTTCTGCTATTTGTACATCCCAACATATAACGCGCATGTTTGGCTCATCGAAATTACTATTCAGCGAAATCTTTGCCTATCAATGCTAAATACTTGGTCTATCGCTGAGTGACACCTCATTCATGGCAATCAGAACCGACAAGTCTGAGGAAGAGCACAAGAGCACAATGGTATACACCTGGAGAAAGGGATGTTCACTTACCCCTGTGCTCACAAATGACAGCGTGACCATCATCGCACCCATCTTCCTCCACAACAGCCACAGTTTGCCACTGTGATCCGACACGTTCGGTGGTGTAGAAGGCGGCCAGACAGTCCCCATTGCCCACTCCTCCCGACCACGACACGAAGTCCAGATTGACCACTGCATTATCGCTTTGCCACAAAAATGGTTGATTTGTGTCTTTAAGGTAAAATCTCGCCGTTAGAACTCACCTTTCCAGTGTAGCATTCCTTTCGTGCTTCTGCTGAGGTGGACTGTCATTTGGCCTGGTCATGTAAATTATCAAGCGAACGTATTCTTCATCTCACGATGCAGCCCTCAAAGTACTGCTATCGAACTCTGACCATATTACCCATGTCTCAACTATTCCAGCCTTTTGGATGACAATCCTTCTTTCCGAAATAACCTATGCCCCATACTACTGAGAAGATACTTAGATTTGATCAGTTCACCTGACCGAGCTACGTAGGCATTATCGGTAGGGCAGGAGTCGCCATTGGAACCTCTTTTATGCCAGCCTTCTGCGCAGTCAACTGGGGCATAAATAGGAGTGAGTTTGTAGTTTTGTTGGCAATTACCGTATTTGGGGCTACCCCAGCATTTGAAGTGGTAGTGTTACAACCGATTAGTTTGCAGCTCATCTCACTAGCTATTAAACTGCTAGTAGTTACTGAATAAGAAAGGCGATTCCCCACTGCGGCTCTTACTAAGATGACTTTACTTTCTTCACTGTCATGCTTGAGAACAATTTCATTCTCCTGTGGAATCGGTCTGCAATTTGCCTGAGCTGCATGAAAAGTGCTGTTATTTAACAGGATTGGCAAAGACTACACTGGATATTCTTAACCCAGTGGCAATTCATGCAAGCTCTATCAGTTGCAAGCCTTTAGCTGATGCTCCGATTCTAGAAGGCAGTCTGCAATTCAGTTTACTTGATTGAAAGTTAATGCACACCCGAAGAGATTGCAAATTGTGGTTGCATCAAGTCCATTGTTTTCTAATGTACCCGATGGGACATAGTACTCACTGTCTCGCCGAGCGTTCAGCAATACCCTCTCCTTGAGGGAATTTTGGACCAACACGTGTTTCAAAGCCTCCAAATCGTCTGAGTCACGAACTTCGGCAATCGTGACACTGACAGTGGGATAGTTTTGCAGCAGGGATCGGCAGTTGTCATGCGCCTCCTTCTGCTTGTATCGCGTGGTGTCGGAAAACAACCTGTAGCACTTTCCGCTCCTCGGCACATATGTCCATGTTGAGTCCGCACAGGGGAAGTCCATTTCGTAGTCATTAACTCCTTCAAGGGAAGGCAATAACAGCACACGTCATTGCATGACTCAATATGTAAGGTCAACATTGCCATGGCAACTGGCTTTTCATCGTCGAAAAGATAGTTCATCGTAAGGCAATGGCGGTGGAGAATTACGAGTCATTTTCCACAAAATCACCCACTAATATTCGCAGCTTTGTCAACTTTAATTACAAAAGGCCTGTTTCTGCACCATTCCAATTGCGCCAATTTCGTCTCCGTTTGATTTGAACAAAGGATGCAGTGCGTTAAACGAATCTTTAGGTTAAGAAGAATCATAAAGTGCCTTATTAATCATCGCACTTAACCAATCGACAATCGTTTCTTTACTACTTGAAGCAGCCGCAAAGACTATTTTATAAGCGATAACTTCCGTCAACTATTTCTCCAGTGCGAGCACAAATTGTAAGTACAAACAACACAGAAAATGGAATATTTTAAACAAATTACCACTGAGCCATGACTAAAGCATGCACAAAATGTACAACTGCAAGCCGAAGATGCTGAACTACCTTGACAAACTCGAAGCAGAGTGACTGTAAACAACAGGAAGACGTGCATCCTCCCTTCTGACTTGCCCATCGCACTACTGTCTGCAAATACATGTTCGGAATATGTAACAGTGTTGCTATGGCCTGCATGGCCACCATTGTTCCCTAGTCCAATCGACGAGCATTCCACTGTCTTATTGTTGTCACCTCACGTGGCAGGACCTTGACAGCGCGAAGTTCACAACAATTGCAGCATCGAATTTCTCACGTATTCTGCTCAAGGCGCTGTCCTTTCTCTGCATCATGAGCTGGTCTTTGCTTTCTGGGAGTTAGCCCAAGTTGGGAACGGATCTTTGATAGAGTTTGAATGAATAATCATCAATGCTTCTTCCTGCAATTTCACCTGAGCTTCCACAAGCAATACTTGTCAGCTGGAGACCTTCCTAAAGATGCAATGCAGTGTACTCGTTTGGAGGAGCTGACTGGACACAGGTGTAGGTCCAGTGTAGTGACTCAAGGATGGTGACCCGTGCAGCAGTCATGCTTTGATTAATGTCACCCATCACATTTAACTGGTGGAAAGTCACTAATTTGCTTACCTTGATGTAGGTTTCCTCAGGCCTTCTTTGGATGTGTATGCTGTGCTCAGGATGCTGCACTGACCAAATGAAAACGGCCATTTCGGCTGAAGGCATTATTAATCTGAAGTTCTCTGCATTTTTCATTAAGGTGCTGCACAGCTGCTGAATTCATGTCGGCTAAAATGAAGTTCCTAATACACTAGTGACCAGTGTTGTTGGTCGTTTTCGCGATGCATGTGCATTCTACTTTCCCCAATTGAAATGGCGAAGGCGAGTGGGTGGGGAAATAGAATGTAATAAATAGGGTCGCATTCAGGCTTTGGGTAATGTTGTGAGTGCGTTAGAGCTTGCAGGCTTTAAAACGGATGCTGCGGTGTGCAATAAGGGATGGACATGCAGCTTGAAAATGATTTTCAAGAACCTCTCGGGAAGGAAGCATTGACCTCCATTGATAAAATAGGATTTAACTACCTACATGGTCAGAGCCAACTGACTTGCCTAGACTCATTTAAAGAATCCGTACTTTGTGTATTAAGGGTTTTAATAAACGAAAATTACATCATAACAGCGACAATTTTGTGTAAAATTTACAGTGAACATATTAATTGCAACGTATTCCATGGGTATAGATTTGGTTAGCAGCAAGTGGATTATCAAAACAGTGATTAGGTTTCGGTTAAGCTGATAATTGTTTCGTATTTACCACTAATTCATGTCCAATTTGCTCCCATTTTTGCGATATTTGTATGAACCTGCGCAACAGTTGTGCAGTAGATATTGATGCGAAAAATAAATTTTGGAATAAATTCTGAGGGCATTTGAAACAGCGCCTCTTTTTCGACTTGTCACCTTTCTAATTCACCACAAACTGTGTTTTAGCCACACGTGGTCACCGTGTTGCCTGGCTCAAAATTGATGCCGCTTTTGCATTATCTTGCCCTTTAATACCTGCTTTTACTTACAGTCCCCTACAGTAAAATACTTGTTTTTTCACCATATTTGCCTTTACCTGTGCACGATAGACGTACTGTTATTTTGGAGATCCTACGAGCCAGTGCGGCAACTCAGTCTCTCCAGCGTAAGCACACGACGACAGGAAGAGTACAAAATAGGCCAGCAAAAAATTTGAATGGGAAACTGCATTTATCCTCTCTCTTACAGTACAACAATGTAGACACAAACTCGACAGCAGCGTGGGTAATGGAATTTCAATAGGATGGGAACTTTAGTGGCAATGCCGTTGATTTGATTAGCACTCTACATTGAAGACGAAGAAAACCAAAATTTAGCCAGAGTGGAACATGATTTCATGAAACTGAGTGCTATCCGCCTTTGGTAATTACGCTGTCAAACGTCAAAGCCAAAGATCTACACTGCTGAAGTGTGCCTCTTCGTCACATTGTAGGTGATGTGAGTTACTAGTATTCCACATGTAAAATGGCAATGCTTTCCGTACAGTAACCCAAGGCGTGAGTAGGTTAATGAATTAATGACCAAATGTATATTAAGCATCTAGTGAAGCCACGATATTATTCGCTACTTGTATTGTACTTATATTATATCGATAGGCCTTATTTTGTCAAATTTTTTATTAGGCGTTAAGGAGATTCCTATCTTTTGTAAGCATTTAAACCTACGTATTCAATTTGGCTTCATTATTTGCAACGACGGTTCCTCCCATCAACTTACTTGTAACTGTATCATTAATGAAAAACATGTTTATAAAACATGTAAGTAGAAGCAAAATTTTAAACTTTGCAAGAATATGGGATGCTTTTGAGACTTCTATGAAAAAAGTGACAAAGAGCACTGGTTCTTGTTATTCAAATAAATTTTTAGGCTATTGAAGCTTGTATCTATGTGATACACTTTTTAATAAAGGGTAGTCGGTTGTCTTGACTTATCTCTACCTCAAAAATCACCGAAACTTTTACAGCTTAATTTTAAATTCCGCCTTTGCAGTTACTTGTGATGAAATTTTTTTGTTTTTGGCGGTTTTCAAGCTACAACACTCGCCCTATTAGACGAAATGGAGAAAAATTTTTTCGTAGATTTCTGATAGGCTTGTTTAACATGACTCTAAACATAATCCTAAAATTCTTTTTCCCAATCTCAGAATGATTATGCCAGATTTTAGCACACATTTCACTTGGATTTGGGTATATGAGTTATTTTTAACTAATTATATACCTAAATAGTATTGAAAAAGGAGAAAAATCTGTCATACAGTAGAAAGGAAGGGCAAAATAGTGAGAGAAACGATTTGTCATTAACTAGACTGAACTGATTGTTCATTCAATTGAAAGAAATGCTGGGAACAAAAAGGGTGGCCGAGGCCACCCTTTCTCCTATACAACCGCAAGATAAAAGATTTAAGCCCTCCATTTTAATTGATCCAGCCTAAATAGCCCATTGCGGACGCTGATGTACAGTTAGAGGAAGCTGTAAATCATAAAAAATGTTTGACTACCGACATTGCAAAGCACATTCCCAAAAATGACAGCAATTTCGTGCAAGAAGACTACAACTTAGTGTTACAATTTTAGAAGCACGTCTCACAAAAATATTCTTAGGTATAAAATTCTTCACCTAACTCAAACAAAAATGGTAGTTCAGATTTCAATTAATGCATTGATACAGGCAGTTTCTTCTTCATTGCCTAACTCTGCATTTCTAAGGACAGCCTCTTCGTTGTTTGTTTGAAACCCATACTTGAAAGTAGCATTTCGCCAGTCTCTTCTTCGCAATTGGACTGTACTAAAGCCCAAAATTGTAGATATGGAAGAGGCGGTTCCATTATTTAATGTCAATCAGAGTTGTTGCAATAAGAGTAAACGATTTCACTTTGGATTACCGAGGGTCATCATCCCAACTACGGTCTTTCAACTTGAAGGTGTAATAACGCTTCTTAAATGGAATATATTAATGGTTTCTACTCAACAATCATTACGTCAAAATGCATGATAATAAGTGCGTAAATGTATTTCAAATGGCAAGCAACTTACCCCTTAAGTTTACTAAATTCCATGATACTGTAACACCTCTAGCCTTCCTTCAAGTCGGAAGAATTCACAATACTGGGAGGGGAAGTGCATTGCCGTCGTACAGAAGTGATGGGAGGCGGCTAGGAGCATGACTCAAAGATCATGTCTTAAGTGCCCGCGTAACCAAAACGGGGCATTAAGCAAACCGTCAAAGTACCACACTGCAATATCTCTGAGGTAGGCAAACAAATTCGTTTTTGTCCTTGTGATACAAGAGAAATAATAGTAGAGGTTCTCTTAAGGTGTACCCTATCTGTTGAAATAAGCATCACTACAATGCACAATCCATCCCTTTTCCAACAAGACAGACATGGACTTGCTTCAAATTCTGCCTTTTTACGAGCTTCGAAAGGCTTCATATGACTTTCCACCGAGCCGTTGCCCTGATGTTTCTTGCACACTTTCGAATTACGCCTTATTTTGCAGTGTCCTATCAAATCTAGGGGATAGATCACAGTCTCAGTTGGTGTTTGGTGTTCGTCAAGTAAATATTTACGCAAGTAAAAACTTCGTCTCTATTCCACCACTTGCACACACGCACAGCTGCATGCAAACAAAGCATGCCCAGTCCCGGTCCCATGAATTGGTGCAGTGTGAGTTTGCGCGTGTTCTCATGTCTATGTGAGTCGACAGTGGGTAGTATCGAAACATCAAATGATAGGCTTATTTCCTTGATGAATGCCACAATACAACAGCACGACTGTACCAAGGCACGAAAGCACAGAAGCAGTTTCTCGTCATAACAAGCCAGTTGGTCAATCAGACAGTAGACAAAAATTGCCAATTGTAAGGTGTGTTTTGTGGCATTTTCAAAGGAGGCAAAGGGTGCGTGGACAGTCTTTGAGCAGCCCTATCTGTCATCTATTAATGCATAGCACATGGGTAGGATTCATGCGCATTTTAACTGCCGTGATCTCCCCATCCCTCTTTCTTCCTGCAGACATAAACCCACCACACTAGCATCCGCATTAAACTTGTCCTCAAGTTCTTGTTGACGCGTCATTTAAAAGCAACAACAATGTGTCTTCACTATTGTCAATAAATGTGTCTCTTCCTGAGCGTGAAGTGTCTGGCTTCCTTTGTTAGCCATCAGACTCTTCACACCGAGCATGCCATTTTTTTCCGCTACATGGCACATCCTCTCCAGATGACCCACAAATTATAAGGGAGGCTGATGAAACTTTATAACCGCTTTTAAGTTAACTCATAAAGCAGAGGAGGTGGCGCCGTATCATTTAAGTTCAACGAACACTTTATGATACATTGATGAAGAACATAATATAGGGCGTCTCACTAATAGCCCAGCATATATCTACCAACCTGTATAATGTATACCTACAATTAATAGTGCCTACTACTCGAGTCCCCATAATTTACAGAGTGGTGCTGAGGTTAGCAACACCTAAACACAGTACTGCCTTTTCACTTCTAGGCAGGGAAGGCTTACTGCTTAAAGTTCTTCCAACTTAGACAAAACCTTCTTATCAAATCCGTTGTGCAATTAACTCTAGCATTTATATTTATGAGTTTAATGCATTATAAAATGCCGGCATTTTATCCTTTGGGATCCTAACAGAAATCAAAATTTTATTATCAAAACAATTTTTGTATACTTTTTGGGTTACCCACATTCCTGTTTATCCAGTTACATAGTCTTCAGATGTTTAAAGTAATTAAATTGGATGTAATTTAAAAACCTTCTCTACACTGAATTGAAATGCATTAACATCCACTTTTGAGAAAAGATATTGTTAATGTAAGCAAAAAGATCAAATGTCTTAATGCCTGCGTGGTAGTCAAATCTGTTGCTTATAATTTGATTGTCCGTAAACTATTGGGGTAGATGACTTAATAAACACAGAAAACTAGCGCCTAGCTCATAAGTAATTAAATGCCGCAGGATTTCTTGATTGGCCGAGAAGCTTAAACCAATGGGCAGCATGACCTAAATACATCAGCAGTGATGCTTAATATGATCTACCACGCAAATGTGGAGTGGGAGAAGACCGAGAAAGCACAGCGGATGCAGAGACCCTAGTAAAACCTGCGAAGCAGCGACGAATTGTCTGCTGATAACAACTCCAAAGGTGGCGAAGAAATGGCGCTTGGCCTCACGAGTAGTGTACATTGGAGGGGCGACACTGCTCACCTGTGCCATCCTCCTCGAAGGCATCTTCGTACGCCTCCTGTTAGTGCCCTACCTGCGAGAGGCCGACTTCAAGCCGACGCTTTGCGTCCTCCACAACACCTTTTACGAGGTCCGCGCAGGTTTGCAGCGTTGTGAGAGTCGTTGCGCTAAACTCGCCTCCGCTTTCCCCTGTCTCGTTGTTCGAGTTCGCTTTCTACAACCCCACGACCGCTCCTGGCACACCGGCTACCTCTTCGACCAACTCCTCTCCTACCAAAAACGGCAACCACATTTTGTTAGTGCCTCCTCTGTTCTCTTTTCTGCGTATCTTTAAGTCGGCGTTTGAAGCCTGTGCGACTCAACTCTGTTTATCAGTTTGATAGGTCAAAACGTTCTTAATTCAGGTGCAGAACTTCTAACTAATTGTTTAAAGTGCACTTCATCTTTGCCAAAATTTTGCGCTTCATTTCCGCACCAGTTTGATTCTAGTTGAGTTTTCAATTTGTGAAGCTCTAGTTTTGTTCGCTTCAAATACACCACTTTCTGCCAGGAACTATTTTATGGATGGACTAAATGAATGATTTAATATAATTAAGAGAAGTTTGCTTTCTTTTTGACATTGTGTTGTGAGTTTTTTATAGTATATTTTCAACTTTCCAAAGTTGCCCATTTTAGAATTTTTCGTTGTGTTAATTTTGGCCATTTTGGTGTTAAGCACAAAGGCTCCATTTCGTCAAACGATAACAATATATACGTCGAATTCTGCACGTGTTTAAATAAGGTGCCAAAAACTGTAAGCTAAAGGCATGATTGACTAAAATGCCTGAGGTACTCTGATTAGTTGGGACTGTAATTTAGCCTCCTTAAAGCATTCCTTGCCATCCCATTGATGCGGAACACTGGAGGCACTTGTAATTATGGCAAAAAATCTTATCTTAAAGTTTTATTTTAAAATAATAGACAGTGAGGATGTCAAGCATCAATCTAACAAACTCATCACCTTCTTCCAGGGCAGAGACATTTTGAGAGTCCACTTTTCTTCTACTTAATAATTAGTAATGAACTCACTACTGAAACATCTCATGCTACTTCACTTACAGCAAAAAACTTGCTACCGTTGCATAGTGCTTAATTATCTCAGAATTTCGATCAGCAATTCAACTGAACTTTTTCTAAAGAAAACATTCTTTGATGTCCACCTCCCATTTTATTGCTGCCAATATTTGCATCAAGGCGTCAGCAGGCCCTTTTGTAATCACTTCTGGTCTAAGTGGGGTTCGACCGCAATACCGTGTTCTTCTTCTTCATGCAATAATGTTCAATTTCTGTTTAAAGTCCCTTCCATTTGACTGTTGTCTTTTTTCATTCATGCACAAATTTGTTAGTCACTGTTAACCTCCTCTCCCTCTCGCCTCAGTATTTATGCGGTAATCCAACAAAGCTAAGATGCTTCTCTTATTTTCCATACACACTCAGACGACACCTAAACATCACTTCATTGACAAGTATTCCGAGTCTGCAAGATAGGTCATTCTGATGCCTCCATTATTCTAGCAGGATCACGGAGTTGGCAATGGCTCCATCCACACACTTCTGCCAATACGATGAAATGCCTTTCCATGAGTAAAACATGGCCTCGGCTTCCAACTACCCCTGATAATTTCTCGCGAGTAAAACTGCTGCTAACATATGATTCGACTTTTCGCAACGCTTCTCCTTTCATCTTCAAAACTTGACTGAGCCAAAAACTTTTAGTATTCCATGAATTTGTTGAAGGCACTTTGGTTGCACTTTCCTTAATTTGTGTCCTCTCATCTCTGCGACAGTACTTTCAAATGTCAAACCTTGTTTTCATTACAGTTTCCTTCCCTAATGTTGTGACCTTTCTTTGACTGAGTTTCGGCTAAGCCACGATCATGCAAGCCAATGCATTGACAACGTTGTACCCTCTGAAACAACGACGACGCCTCATGAACTCCTTGTCATTTAACCACCAGGTTTTTCTACAATTGCCTTTACTGATACTGATGCTGATACTGATGCCAAGGTTATGCACGCCCTACTTGCTGACGACTGAATGTTCCTTTTGCCTTCATTACCGACAACTTTGCTTCATCCTTCTCTCCAGGTTTTCCGTCAACCACAGTGGATTGCTTTCAGACACCCTTTGCATTTAAAACACCTGCTGAAGCCACTTCAACTGCACTACCTGCATCAAGAAACTGATTGCGTGATTTTAGTTAAATGAACTCTTTTTCATGCCTTTTGCGACTGTTCCTTTGTTTTTGTTGCCATTTCTCCTCCCCTGGTGAGTAATTAGCATCCCAACAACTATTACTTTTATCGTGTTCAACAGGCAGGACGACCATCTACTTTCGCGCTTTGGGTTCAACTCACCTCGGTGGCGCATTTTCATCATTACTTCTGTGTCAGCGCCTGTTTCCTGATTGCAGAAGTACCCTCTCTCTTGATTAGTCTATTTATTAGCGTTTGCCATGATTGCAATTGAGGCTTGTTGTCGACCCAAACATCGGTAATTGCAGCTAGTGTAGAGCACTTCGAGTGAGGAAAAGAACCTCGCACTTTCTTCAAAACTCTTTTCGCCCTATCATTAGATAGCACTCGAATTACTTCGTCACTATCGGCACGTGCTTAATAAACCCATCTTTCCTTGTGGTGAAATTTTTAAGCGACATTAATTGTCCACTTAAGGCTTGAGGGATGGCATAGCACCACTTTTGTTGGTCGACTAACGCACGAATTGCTTTTAGCAAGTGCGCCTTTCTCCAAAAGAGCTAGCGCCTTTTTGGCTTCTTCTCATGTCTACCTGCTGCTATTCGCGTTGTCCACCATTGAAGTAGCTAATGCCAATTCTGGTGCATTTACTTCATTCATACTCATGGCAAATCATTTTAATCCACTCAAAAAGCTGGTGCGGATTTCAGCAGGGCTCACAGCAATTGCTCCTTGCAGCATGTGAAGTCTCACAAATTGTGCGCGTATGCCAGTGTGCATCCACAACAAGAAAGTGGAGGAGGGAAGAAAGAGAGGTAGATGAGAGATGATTTGATGGAAATGCATCGTTTAATCAGTGCACCAGTCATCACAGTACCCTCAACA